TAAAATGCAAATGTAAAAAAGCCACTATCCATTCCAAACCTCGGTGTTTTTTTTCTGATGCAGACGTGGGCAGGCTCTGTGATTTTTACATTTTTATTTGCGAGTTCAAAAGTTTCCCCCAGCTGAATGGGCCCAAAAGATCACGCCTTTCACAACCCTCGCCTGTTCTCATGGGGACCATTCTGTTACTCTCTTTATTATATATCATTCCCTTCGATTATAATTGTGTTGCTGGCATCGCGTCATGAAACTTATAAACCGTTCGGATCTCCCGCATTGCAGTGTAACCCTCCATGTGAGAGAATCGCCCACGAAAGTGGATGTCACAGAGCTACCTTCGAAATCTCATCAAGTGACCGCTGGCTCACACGGTAGCGGGCAGCAATATTGCCATTGACTCTGACGGTAATGTTTGCTGCATGATGACAAATTAAACCATAATTATTTAACATTTTCAGAGTCATATTAGCTGCAGATCCAAATATATGATTGAGAGGGGTTCATATTCTTGGTTCTTTCGGTAACGTCACGTTGAAGGGAAACAATAAAATAGTAAAAAAAATATATAAAACAATAAAATTCTCACGACGTTTCGACTGTAACACAAACAGTCATCATCAGGTGTGAAAACCAACGGCAAGACCATTTGAAAGAAGTGGCGGTTTGTATTTATTTATTTTTAAACGTTAGCACCACGGATAGCGATTTGACAGTTTGTTTAGAAGGACGAGTCCATCTATGTTCGGAAAAGAGGAGGGGGGAGACGAAAAATGAATGTATGAGAGAGGTTCTTTGTGTGTGTGTGTGTGTATATTTAGTGGTCACCGTGTTGAGACCATCAACTGACTACACTTGAGAACCAGACGTATTCAATCTCTCCTCCTCCTCCCCTTCGTGCCCAGAGTTCCTTCCTGCCTGCTGCTCATCTTGAACTACGCGTCTCTTTGTCCATCCTGGGGGCTTGCGTCCCGGGAAACCTTCCCATTCCTCTCTCGTTTTCCAGGCTTTATATCCTTGACTCTACTCCCCTTTCCATGGTGTGCGACCGGTAAAAAGTTTGTGTACATACATTTCTGTTATTTAAAAAGATCCTATACGAATACAGAGCCCTATGTTAATTCACATTTCCTGCCGGTGGATGTTTTCCTACGCGCCGTACGTAGCATAGCAACTTAATTTCACAACTGCAAAGTGTGAAAGGCAGCTTAGGTGTGATTATGTTGCAATGTGCAAACCCGCGAGTTCGAGCTGTAAAATATAAAATCCTGGGAATATAAATAGCGATGAGAGAGCGAAATTGCAGCGCTCAATAAATCGTGATTCATTACAGCCGAAGATATTGACATATTTTAGTGAACCGCATTAATCAGATGAGGGATTTGACTTGAAACGTGGTCGACCGTAATTTCAGGTATTCTACGTGTCCTATCTGTGTTACATCACATTTAATGACACGTCTCTCGTGGCAGCAGCCTCCCCCACCCCCCCCCCCCCCCCCCGTGAGGTGCCCACTCGAACAACGCGTGTCCAGTGCGTGAACCCATTACAGGGGTGTCGCTCACGGCCCAATAGAGCTCACGACAAATTTCTGCAATCCCAATAAATACATACAATCCAAATAAAGCTAACAACAAGTATATGCAAATATATACAATCCACCGGGCACGAACTGACAACCTTCGGAAATGAATAATGCATGGCAGTGCTAACGTCCCCGCATTTCCGTGCAAAGCACCGATATGCATGAGGAATTGGCAGTCAAGAGATGGGGGCCGGAGGTCCGCGCATTCGGCTCATCGCGTGTTGGGGCCGAGGCAGTGGCCACAGCTCCTGCATGCGAGCTGGCGCCTCTCTACCAAACGGCAGAATCTCGGCAACGAATCCACGCGCTCGCTCCATGAGAGCATCAATCACAGCTAAGCTGCCTTTCACACGTTGCGGTTGTGAAATTAAGTCTGTTATGCTACGTAGGGCGCATAGGAAAACATCCAACGGAAGGAAATGTTCATTGATAGAGGGCTCTGTGTTCGTATTGATTTTTTTGTTGTTTAATAAATGAAATGTACAAATACTTGTGTACATATCGTCATCACCGTCGATGTAGAGGCACCGCCTGGGTCGGTTCGTAGATGACGAGAGGGTACGATAATGCATCGATTCATGGACTAGTATCGATTCTACAGCGTAAGGTATCTGAATAGAAACGCATTTGCGAAAAAATCAATGAACTACCGTGACCGTCACGGGGGGGGGATTGGTACGAGGCTGGAAGTGATCTCTTTGCTGCTATCCAAGCAAACTACAGTACCTTGGTTTCTGTGTGTGTTGTTGGAGTACCGTTCACGTAGCGCTGGCTCAACTGCTCGTGCCTTCAATAAAACTCCCAGAGCGTCTCTCGTGCGAGGACATTAATAAATAAGCTTACTTATCAATTAACGGGATCCCCTTCCTCTCGCCAAACAGCAAAAGCCACCGCGATTGAACCAAACTAACGAGTCACCGTCTGGCAGCGGTGCACGCGCACAAGTTAAAAAGAGCTCCCAATATCCATCTTCGCCTTCGTATCCTCGTGGCATAAACGCTGCCTCATCGCATCAGACGTATATCTAGCTGACATTTCGGGCAATGACCCTTTTTCAGGGCAGAGAGATGTGACTGAATGATGGCTGTAAGTTGCACTTCACGCCGTTGTGCTTTCTCAGAACACGAAAATGCAAGCCGCGTTCCCCAGGGCAGCTCTCTGCGCCGAAGAAGCACCATCAGATCACTTTAAATTGTTCTGTTCTAAACGGCGATTCATTTTAGCCGGAATATTGCGGAAGGCAGTTCGGGTAAATGTTTTTGTCACACCACATCCATCTCGCCTTGTTTTCTCACGCGCCTGTTCATGTGCTTATCTATATATAAAAGGGAAATGTGTGAATGTGTGTGTGTCTGTTCAAAATGTTTAGCGTACTTCCCGACATGCAAAAAACTTGAAATTTGCCATGTGGGTACTTTACAGACTGTACACCATGCAAACATTCAAAAAAATACACTTTTGTATTTTTTGGGGGGGTGTGGGGGTGGGCGCAATAATGCATTTATTTTGCACGGCAAGTGAGCTGTGATGTCACATCTGTCATGTGAACCGTATGCTAAAGCGTAACGCAGTGTGCCTGCCCATGTCACGCCCCCCCCCCCCCCCTCAACCCTCCGCGGGTACAGTGCCATACAAATGTGTTGCAGGTCTAAGGCGTTCTTCACGCAGCATTGGTTTAGTATTTGAGTCGTTTACTGCCGTACGCACCCTGAAAGTTGTGTGGTGTGTCTGTAGCAAGCGCGTCTATGTGTACCTATGGACGCGCGCGCGCGTGTGTGTGTGTGGGGGGGGGGAGCGGTAGTGTAGCGGTTAGCGCTACGCTGCGATACGAACCCGGCGACCCGAGTTCGATTCCAGCTCACGGCCACCATTGGTGATTTGAACCGGTCCTGGGCCTCCTCTAGGTCGACTCAGCCTCAAACGAGTAACTGGTGTGGTGTGTGAACATCGCCACTGGGGAGACAAAGGCGGCCGGGCGTGGTGAATCCAAGTCCCGGGCGAAGCCGGGTAGTACAGCTAGTAGGAATATAAGGGCACAATTAAACGGGCTGATTACGGATAGGCATACGTAGTCCTTCAGTGGTCGTGCCTTACGCTCCCAAAAATCCCAACTCCAAAGCAGCCTCGCAGCGTTCTGGCAACTTTATCGAGTGAGAAACTTATGGCCTCGGTCATAAGACGGTGGATAGTTGTTGTTGTTGTGTTTTTGTTTGGGGATAAACGGTTGCAGAGGGCCGCCCGCGGTATCGTTGTCGCGACGCGTGAGGCTGCTCGGAGGCGATCGTTGCTCCGACCTCACCGCGCGCGGTGTTCCTCCAAACTCGAGACCCCCCCCACCCCCCCTTCCTCCCCCCCATCCCCCCATCCCCCGGAGCGTCGTCCCGAGGAGGAATCGTAAGGACTCATCGCCCCACGCGCACTCACCGGGGACACAAGCGAGCCTGTTTCACGGCAGAGAAGCACCGCATGCGCGTGCCCGGCTTCTTTTGGGGCTGGAATGTTTAAGGGGGGGGTTGGGGCACAAATGTAACATTTGCAAGTGGCACCACATTGGCTGCTGCGCTGGAGACATCCGCGGCACTCTGAGCACGGCTCGGAGCACCACGCGATTCTGGGAAGCGTGACGGCGAGTCCTACCCCCCCCCCCCCCCCCCCCGGCGATTCGGTGACTTCTCACGATTGGGGGGGTCACGATTTTTGGGGGTAGGAAATGAATACATTTTGTCGTCTTATCATATGCACCCTCTGCAATAATCAACTCTGATATGGACCGTGACTGGAGTCTGCGCTGCTAATGTGGAGGGAGAGCAGAGATGCACAAACTCTGTCCTGAAGTCCTCTCGTGGCCAGCAGTCTTCGACATTGGCATCTAGCTCCTGAACGGAATAACATAGCAAACCCTTGCACAGACGATACAATGAACGTATCGTGAGAATTAGGATCAATTCGAATCAATTCATTGTTAGTGAGAATAATACGTTTAAAAAAATAAAAATGTCAAACCATTCATCAATTTTCCCCCCACCTCCGATTACCGCGGTTGGCTACGTACGGTGCAAAAGAAGTTCAACATACCTCCATACAATAACACTGCCTTGAAATGAAAAATTAGTATGTATGTTGAGTTTTGGAGGCAGTGTTGTTGACAAACAGGTTGCGTTTTGTTTTGTTAATTGTGCGTGTGCGCCACTTCCATCGCAGCAGCAGCAGCAGCACCAAATTAACGCGGCCACTTTGACACTGCGTTTTGCGTCACCGTAAGGCGCAGTCTGCCTCTACCTGATTGTAAACGAGGCGTGGTGACGAGGATGTGTTCTTTTTTTAATCGATTGAAGGAAGCTCGGCAGGCTGCGGAAGTGCCCTCTGCTGCACTTCGACGTTGAACTCCCCTCTGCTGCCACGCGCCCTCTGCTCACAGGTGGCGGCTATGGAGCGGCAGATATTCGACTTCCTGGGATACCAGTGGGCGCCCATCCTCGCCAACTTCTTTCACATCCTCGCCGTCATTCTCGGACTCTTCGGCACCATCCAGTACCGGCACCGCTACATCGCCGTGGTGAGTCACAGACCGACGCGCCCGCGTCTCGCGCACAGTCGTAGCGAGAGGCACAGTGGAGGTGGTTTGCCGGGCTGGAGGAATATTTTTTTTGTACGTCCCTCACGGAATGCTGTAAGGCGCATGACCACAAGCCGTAGCTGAACGGTATGCTTGAGGCAGTGTGCCAGGGATGGAAATATCTTTCGGGTCTTCGGTACCGGACCGGAGTAGGTGGCACGTGACAGGTAGCTGTAGTCGTAGCGAGTGGTATGACGAAATGTGGTGCGCTGGGCATGAAAATATCTCCTGGCTCACTGGTAGACTGCAGTAGACACATGGCTAGAAGCCACGCCCATAGCGATGGGTATACTGAATGCGGTGTGCCGGGACTGGCTGAAATTAACGCCTGACCGAGGGCGGGCAGAGGGACAGGCCGGGTCCTCCTTGTTACCAATGCGCTCATGTCTCACTCGGCACCACGGCTCTCCGCAGCACTACATACCCAGGATGTGCAGACGGGGGAACGGGGGGCTCTCGCCGAGTGATTTGTGTTTCCGTGGCGAGAGATAGAAGGCAAATTGTCCCAGCTGTTATCAGGGTGAGCAACGTCGGTACATTACGATTAATTAGCGCGTGCAATTATTTTACCGTTAGTATTTTTACCATTACCACAAAAAGGCTCTTTTTTTTGGCTGTTGGAGCTGGCGTGGTTGGCACGTTTTATTTATTTTAAAACGCAGAACCAGGTGCGCACCACCTGCACGACTAACGCTGATGAGTAATGCATTTCACGTGGCACAAGTTCCATTCAGCCTCAGGAACTCAATGGGGAATTTGATTGGACGCTTGATTAGGCAATTATGTACATACTCACCGCTTTGGGATTGCGCGTCATGTGGCCATCAAAACCCAGTTGTGTCACTGATTAAAAGGCGGAATATTCTGTAATTTTTTGGGCAGTTTGCAATCAACTTTGACGGCTAAGTCGAAATCATCCAAATCCCACTCAATCGACGACTTATCACCAAATCAGCTTAAATACGCCCGGGCTCGCCACAGAAGCCAACCTTGAAAATATACGTACTATGAAAAGGGCCGTTGCCCGAAACGTTGCCTATTATATATGCTTCCTTTTAGGGCCACAAAGTGTTATTGACTAATGTGCTTTCTGTTGTTGTTGTTGTTGTTGTGTGCTATCGTGCACCACTACCAATGCAGTTACCAAATAAAGTGTTTGGTATAAGAATAGGTTTTACCCTTTCTTGCAATAAAACAGTTTGTGTTAAGATGTTCAAACACCAAGCAGAAGAAACCTTTTGCGGGGAATCCTGTCTGCATTAACCACACATACTTGTGGTGAACATAAACATGCTCTGGTAAGGTCCCATGTTGTTAAAGTGTTTGGTGTTGAACCTGGCAACTATACTTGTTTGGAAGGCTGCCTGGTTGATATCAGGTGTTATAGGCGTGGTGTGGCCAGGAGACGGCAGCATTGAGTGTATTCCCCACGAAATGCGTGCTGGGTTTTCTCTGGGCTGGTTGGTTTCTTCCTGCATGAAGCCACACTCTCATTCAATTAAACTGGCCAAACATCCCAATGGAGCAGGACCCTCGTAAAAAATATATATGTAGTTATGAGACTCTGTAAGGCTTGGCATTTCCATTCCTTAAACAACACGCGCACTTACGTGTCTTGAGTGCTGAAACACAAAGACAGGTATTTGTATTCATCTGGCTACTACCCACAATGCACCTGCCCTGGCTTTGTAGTAAGAGCCCTCTTAGCTGCACGTAGACGCCGCATGTACCGAGCTCCGAGATAATTCCGCAACCCTTCCTTTCAAACGATGTCCCTGCGACCGCAGAACGATGCTTAGATGCGTTCGTCTGCGCGCGATGGCTACTGGTTGGCCGACGCCGCTCCGCACGTACAGCACAGGTGATCACATTCGAAAATTGTTTTCTTCAGCAGTCGCTGCGCACAAACGCACGCACACACACACACAGGCACATCGGTGAAAATGTTTTAAAGCCCGGAGAAACGTTTTGAAAGACGCGAGCTGTTGGTTTGTAACTCAAATTAAAAACGTGCGCATACGTATACCGCTCGTAGACGAAAGAGTGTCACATTCTCTTAAGGCGTTTTCAAGTTTGTAAACGTGTTGGCAAATGTGGGCAAAACAATGTTTGGCCATATGCCTGAACCGATGCAAATAGCGTCGCGAAAAGTTGAGGATCGTTGCCAAACGAGACCCAGCAAATCCCTTCCTGTGAACTCCCCCACAATGATTGGACCCCCAATAGCACGGGCGCTCATCTTGGACACCGTGGTGCTCGAGTCGGACCTTGATCCTCGTTTAATTGCGAGCGGGCTCCGTGTGAATCATCTCGGCGTGGGCGCGTTCCGAATTTGTTGTTTCCCTCCTGGAAGCGGACCAGCGTACACGATGGAGATTTGTAAACGATCGGGGAGAGGTTGCGCCGATTCTCTCGCTCTCTCTGCAAGCGGTGTGGATGCGAGCCCCCCCCCCCGCCCCCGCGAACAATGAGCCACGAGCGTTGTTTTTCTTTTCTTGTCAAAGAGTAAAAGACAGGGTGTTCAAATTACCTGCGGCAAGACATTTATGCACGGTAACACCCCAGGCTGTAATAGCTTTCACACTTGGCTCGTTTCATTAACCTTAAAAGTCGGCAATCGCCTGCGAATAAAGTGCTATTACTGAACCAATGTTAATCTCGGCAATTTGTATGTTGGACATCTCTTAACAATTAGCCGGGCCGTTCCGTATCTGCACTCCGTGATACATTTTTGTCGTGTTTTTTTATATTTGAAGGTCAGCTTAGATATTTAATCCCTCTATATAAACTTAAGTATTGGACTTAAACTTGCGCACATTATGTATGTAAAAAAATATATTGCCTGTTAAGGATCAACCCAATCGCTGCAGCACTGAGTAAGCCACACGCACAAAGTGGACTTCTCGCGGTGGGGTCGATTGTCGGGCTGGAGGGGATTGCACTCGCCCAGGAAGCTCGCTGGTGGAGAGAGCGGCTGACCATCAGGTTTGCAAGTTCGAATCTTGCTTGGGGGGCGGGGGCGGTAATAAAAAATGGGTACCACGTTGCGGGGACATCACAAAGGACGTGTCCTCTGGCTATACCCTCCTACGCTATAGGGATGTGGAATTTCCACCAGGAGATGAGAACCGCCGATTGGAATAGAATATGTTGCTGGGACATTGTTCATGCAGCTACTGCCATCGATGACTTCGGGCGATTTCGCGAGGCCCTGTCAACCTCTAAACATCAACATTGATATTTCATCTCCAAAACAACAGGCGATTCGTATGCAGCCCCCCCCCCCCCCCCCTGTTAAGGGATGTCCCTTTAGTGTTTTTTCTTTTCGTTTGTTTTGTCAAATCTGCGAGCGGAGTCGAGCGGCTACTGCGGGGAAGCACTGCAGCGCCCCGTGCTCGAACGAGCGACACTCTGACTTTGTCTCAGCCGCTCGCGGAGTCAAAGGCAATTCCAGGCGGGACGATTCCGCGATGTCAGATTATGAAACTGAGCGGAGCAAAAGGTGGGGAGCTGGGATGCAACGAATGCATCTCGCGGACACGGAGGTGGCGCTAAGCTAGCAGCGTGTGACGTTGAAGCGTGCACAATCACGGGAGGAGCCCGGTGGATGAAGACTCATCGTCCGTGTCTGTCAAACTGACGCCTCTTAATAAGTATTGTGCTACGATGCAGCCGACACTGCCGCAGATGATGCGGTTAATTTTTGCCAAGGCGTCGTGGGCTTCTCGGACGAACGCCGGGAAGGGGGGGGGGGTGTGAGAAGACACGATCGCGCTACTATCTTCTTCTGTGGACGGGAGCTGGAATGGATCGCCGGGTTTGATGGAGAGCACGTCAAGCCAGAACTCCTGGGCCGCGTCGCCAAGCCAAGCAGCCGGTCGCTTGTGTACGTTGATTTTTTTTATTGCAGCTGCTGCGCTCGGGCACCAGAGGTCCAGACTGTGGAAGCGGCCAGCAGAAGACAGCCGTTGAATAGAGGGAGGCTGTTGTTGTAAGGTCGTGCAGAAAGAGACGATGTGGGAGGGAACTAGAAACAGGAGCAGTGCAAGGGAAGGAGCAGAAAGCGTAATGGTGTAACCTGCAGTGTGGTGGTTGAGTGTAGTTGTTGTGATCTGCAGTGCGTTGGTTGAGTGGATGAGTGTAGTTGTTGTGATCTGCAGTGCGTTGGTTGAGTGGATGAGTGTAGTTGTTGTGATCTGCAGTGTGGTGGTTGAGTGGATGAGTGTAGTTGTTGTGATCTGCAGTGTGGTGGTTGAGTGGATGAGTGTAGTTGTTGTGATCTGCAGAGTGGTGGTTGAGTGGATGAGTGTAGTTGTTGTGACCTGCAGCATGGTGGTTGAGTGGATGAGTGTAGTTGTTGTGACCTGCCGCGTGGTGGTTGAGTGGATGAGTGTAGTTGTTGTGACGTGCTGTGTGGTGGTTGAGTGGATGAGTGTAGTTGTTGTGACCTGCAGTGTGGTGGTTGAGTGGATGAGTGTAGTTGTTGTGACCTGCAGTGTGGTGGTTGAGTGTAGTTGTTGTGACCTGCCGCGTGGTGTTTGAGTGGATGAGTGTAGTTGTTGTGACCTGCAGCATGGTGGTTGAGTGGATGAGTGTAGTTGTTGTGCTCTGCAGTGTGGTGGTTGAGTGGTTGAGTGTAGTTGTTGTGACCTGCCGCATGGTGGTTGAGTGGATGAGTGTAGTTGTTGTGACCTGCAGTGCGTTGGTTGAGTGGATGAGTGTAGTTGTTGTGACCTGCAGCATGGTGGTTGAGTGGATGAGTGTAGTTGTTGTGACCTGCTGTGTGGTGGTTGAGTGGATGAGTGTAGTTGTTGTGACCTGTTGTGTGGTGGTTAAGTGGATGGGTGTAGTTGTTGTGACCTTCCGCGTGGTGTTTGAGTGGATGAGTGTAGTTGTTGTGACCTGCAGCATGGTGGTTGAGTGGATGAGTGTAGTTGTTG